TGGTGTGGATGGTATCGGGAGTTCTGCCGCGATGTGCGTTCGTGAAATTTGGCGGCTGGGATTAATCCGAACAATTCCTCAGAGCACTCCCCATGGTAGATGCGAAAGAAAATGCAAAGGGATGCAACATCTCTTCGCAGTGCCAATGAATCGAGCCGATCGGAAAGGGCTCGGTCGTCGACAATTCGAGCCGCTCTGCGTTGGATGCGGTCAAGTGGAAGGAGCTGGCACTGGGGAGCCCCTGCCCAGAGATGGGAACAGTATTCCATGTGAGGCCGAACTTGCGCCTTGTAAAGTAGCAGGCGGTGTGCCGGCATGAAATACTGTCCCGCTCTGCTGAGCACGCCAAGCTTTTTAGAGGCCAATTTGGCCTTCCCTTCCAAGTGACCACGAAACTGCACGTCACTCGATATGTCGACTCCGAGGATACCGATACTGGCTGAGGCAAGAAGGGGAGTGCCTTGAAACTGAGGAGATACGACAAAGGGGTCTTTTTAGCGGTAAACGCGCAAACTTGTGTCTTCTGAGGATTAAATTGGACTAGAGTTAGTCGCCCCCAATCCGAGACTTTGTTCAGCAAAGACTAGACTTCAGACACAAGTTTGTTCCGGTACTCAGCGACGTTTTCCCGAGAAATATTGGCACGGCCGGTGTATAGAGCATCACCAGTGCTGTCATCCGCATAGCAATGAATGTTACCAGTTAGCAACATATCATTGATATGCAGAAGAAACAGCGTTGGTGATAGCACACAGCCTTGTGGAACACCAGCGTTAATAGGCTTGTAGTCAGAGCATGCACCGTCTACAACGACCTTGATGCTCCGATCTGCAAGGAAGCTGGTGATCCAATTGCACAATTTCTCGGGAAGCCCATAGGAAGGGAGCTTCGAAAGAAGCGCTTTGTGCCAAACCCATCGAAGGCCTTCGCAATGTCCAGACTAACGGCCAACGCCTCCCCCTTGGACTCTACTGCCTCCACCCATCTGTGGGTCAGGTAGACCAGAAGATCACCAGCTGATCGACCTCGACGAAAACCGTATTGGCGGTCACTAATCAGCTGGTGATCCTCAAGGTACCGGATGAGCTGGCAGTTAATAATGGATTCCATTATTTTGGAGAACAAGGAGGTGATCGCGATAGGCCTATAGTTGGATGGGTCTGAGCGGTCGCCTTTTTTAGGGATCGGGTGGACAAAAGCTGTCTTCCATGAATTCGGGACTACGCCTTGGGATTAGGAGTACCGGAAAAGACGCGTTAGGACCGGTGCCAGCTCCGGAGCACACGTCCTCAGCACAATTGGGGGGATTCCGTCAGGCCCACTCGACTTCTGGATGTCCAGGGAGAGCAGTGCTTTGCGAACCGAGCGCTGTGAGAACAGCACATCCGGCATGGAGCACTCACACCGCGGGATGGTCGGCGGTGTTTTCCCCCCGTCATCAAGAGTCGAGTTAGACGCAAAAAGGGAGCCTAAAAGGTCGGCTTTGTCTTTTGCGTCATGGGCCAGTGAGTCATCCTCCCTGTGCAGAGATGGTAGTGATGGCTTACAGAAATTCCCTTGGACAGCCTTGGCGAGAGACCAGAATGCACGGGTTCCCGAAGGAAGGCGAACTAGTTTCTCGCCAATTCTGCCTATGTGCTCTGACTTTGCCTTGGCAATAACTCTTTTGAAGGACCTGGAGGCGAAGTTATACTTCTTTTTAAGTGTGCTGGTATTTACATCCCGAGTCGCCGAAGCCGCAGCCCAGGCTTGATAACACTCCTGCTTACTGCGTAATGCAGTCTTACAGGAGCGACCAAACCAAGGCTGAGATCTGCCTCCGATGGGTACCACAGATGATGGAATAAATAGTTCCATTCCCTGTAGCACCACATCAGTGACAGAGTCAGCAACAGCGCTGGGATCATCCGGCGAGAAGCAAACCCGCCCCCATGGGTAGGATGCAAAGAAGGACCGCATTCCGTCCCAATCCGCCGACCTGTAATGCCAAACACGGCGGCAACCTGCAGAACGCAACCGCGAAGGGAGCGTGAGTGGCACCACACTCCGGATCAGACAATGGTCCGAAGAGCCGAGAGGGGCATCGACGGAAACCTGATATCCGTCCGGATGAGAGGTCAGCAGAAGGTCCAACAGGGAAGGTGTATGATCCTCCACATCTGGAATCCGCGTAGGCGAAATAACCAGTTGTGTCAGACCATATGTATATATCTCCTAATATCTCCTAATAAACGAACAGAAGGGTATAGTTAATAAATAGGAGTATTGTTAAGAGGTTAGACGTTTGCTGATTTTCCGTTTACATAATATTTATTATGCTATTACATATTATTATTTATTACAAAAAGCCTATTAAACGTATGTATCTATGTATATATATTGTATGTATGTATGTGTGTGTATATATATATATATGTGTGTGTGTATGTATATGTATATGTGTATGTGTATATATATGTATGTATATATATATATGTATATATGTGTGTATGTATGTGTA